AGCTTCTTGGTACGAGTCTGGACTAGCACCTTACATACACACCATCACACTTCAGACTTGACCACTTTTCTCACCTAGTCTCCTAAAACCAACTCCACTGGAGTCTCAGCAATGGACTAGTAGGAGGAAACCTGGTGTTCTCAGGTGCATGTGACTCAGGCCTATGAGCCCAATAGCTGACAGGACATGGAGAATTACGCACAAGGAGGCATCTCATCAGCTGAAGGCAGATTTCCAAAAGTGATGATGCAACACAGCAGAACACAGCAAGCAGACAAAATACACCTCCAGGTCTGAAAATGCCCTACCCAGGGACAAACTGGCAAGTTTTACACTCTGGTCCAGTTCTCAGTACTGAAACCATGCAGCCTAACAATTTAAGGACAGTGATGATAACTTTGGTGCTGACCCAATTCAAGGCCACAGAGCCTCTGACAGGTTCCTTACCTTGTGAGGCCATCTGTGGTAGCACTGGATGGGCTGGCTGAAGAGAGGGCTGGATGGACGGAGGTGCCATGGGCGGTCCGGCTCCTCGCAGAGCATTCACATCCTGAAACAGGCACAAGCATTCTGGTTGCTATGTATATGGGCCCTTAATTGAAGACTGAGAACGGCTATTCACCCTGAACCTCCTTACAACCAGCGTGTTTTTTTTTGTTTTTTTTTTTGTGAGGAGATCAGCCCTGTGCTAACATCTGCCAATCCTCTTCTTTTTTTGCTGAGGAAGATCGGCCCTGGGCTAACATCTGTGCCCATCTCCCTCCACTTTATATGGGACGCCGCCACAGCATGGCTTGCCAAGCAGTGTGTCGGTGCACGCCTGGGATCCGAACCAGCGAACCCTGGGCCGCTGCAGCGGAGCACGCGCACTTAACTGTGTGCGCCACCGGGCCGGCCCCACGACCAGTGTTTTTAGGCAAAGAAGAGGAAGGAAAGGTGAGGCACAGGTTATGGGGAGAAAGCACTGTTATTATGTACTAGAGGAAGAGCCCTTCTCCTTGTAAATTATATCAAATAATTAAATATGGTTAATTTCTTCAATCATTATAAGTTTTTGATGTTTATTGTCTGAAGCAGCTAAAGTGACTGCTCTCTAGAATGTATCATTTTCCAAACCAGCATCTACCTTAAGACTGACCTAGTCTGTTCCCAGAGAAGAGGGGTCTCTTGCAAGGAAACCCGGGGAATAATGCAGCCTCTTCTCTTCTGCCAAATAATCTCCATAGACCTTAAGGTACTCACTGAAAATCAGACAGAGTAGGATTCACTGAGCCTCGTTACCATGCTGTTTTAGGACAATATAGTTTTAGAGTGTTTTCTCTCCATTCTTTCTTTTCATAAAATCAAAGTAATGTTGGTCTTTACTGCAATTCTAAACAAAATTATCCTACAAACATCTTCCTGATTCATAGAAGGGCAAGAAAACCTTGAGGCATGATACACAGTGACTGCGATCTATGCTATACTTCAAGGGCTGAAATCTCTCTGACATTCTTTTACTTTAGAACTTCGCCTTGTCCCCAAATATTCTCAGAAACGTATTATGTATTTCTGGAAAGGCATCCCAGTTTTACATCAGCACAGCTCTACATCAACCTATATTTCTAACAATAGAAGGAAAGGAATTATGATAAATCAATGTAACAGAACACTGGGTTACCTTTAAAGGTAATAAAACTTTGCTTTATTTATATCATTGATATTAACATAAATGTTCATTTTTTTTTTTTCCCTCTCCAACGCCCCAGTACATAGTTATATATTCTAGCTGTAAGTCCTTCTAATTCTATGTGAGCCGCCACCACAGCCTGGCTACTGACAGACGAGTGGTGTGGTTCTGCGCCCGGGAACCAAACCCAGGCCGCCAAAGCAGAGCATGCCAAACTTTAACCACTGGGCCATCAGAGCCGGCTCAACATAAATGTTCATAATATAACATTAAGTTAAAAAATCAGGCTACAAAGCAATATATAAAAAACAATGCCCTTTTTGTTAAATAGGTTTCTTCTTTCTTTATAATTTTAATTATTCTACAATGAATAAGTAGCACTTAAAATTTTTAATAAGAATATTACCCTATCCAAATTGCATTTCCAGAAACCAGATAAAAATCAATCTTATAACAACAGGCCCCAGAAAGCCTATCCTCCTTTAAAATGTTAAATCTACTTAGAGCTTTTCCAGGAAGAAATAAAACAAAATTGTGAAAAATAAAGCCTATTTTGGAAAATTTTTTCTCAAGAGCATCAGCTTTGCTTTGTTTTATATCAAAGTCAAAGAATCCTAAAAATCAATCTCTGTTAAATGTTTCAGTTCAACTGAAAAAGGATGATTTTATTCAACAAGGAGCTAACCAATGGGAAAAGAACAAAGAATTAAGTTACTTCAGATGATACACCAAATTCCAGATGGGTTAAAATTTTAAATCTAAATGTGAAATAATAATAAACGTTTTTAAAAACCACATGTGATGTTTATAATATGTGAAAGTGGGAAGGCTTTCTAAGCATAATGTCAAAAGCAAAAAACAAAGGCAAAAAATTGAGAGATTTGATTGTAATAAAATTCTTGAACTTCAAAAAAAATCACACCACATACAAAGCCAAAAGACACAACAGTGTGACCTTTAGTAATAGGTAACATCAGTGGAAAGACCAACATTTTCCAAGAGAGTCTAAACATTCAATCAACAAACATGAATTGAGCATATTTTATGGGTTGAGCATCATGCTCCCTAAAGAGTGATTTTTACTGACAATAAAGATTCTAGTAGAAGGCTAAAATAACTACATAAAACTAACCAGTTCTTGCACTAGATGTACGGAATTGCTTCCATTTCTCAGAGGAAGTGCTCCTCATAGTAGAAACATATGTACCAATATCAACCTGTATCATTTTGAATATAAGCTCTCTAAATAACAATTCCGGGTTAGACGCAGAAAAAGCAGTAATTTCAACCAAAAGAACAGAAGATAACATCTGCACTATTCATTCTAATACAGCGAGGGGACATACTTCGATTTCTGAATCATTGGAATCCAGCTGTGGTGGAAGGATGGGCAGCATGGGCTGGCCCATTTTAGCCATCCGAGAGATCAACTTGGCCTTGACTGTATCAGGATTCTAAAAAGAGGAGAGTCAGAAAAATCACTGTAATCGAGGTTCATTCCCTTCAGTCAGCTGTGTTTGGCACTTGCATAAAATCCTTCAGCAAGTCACCCTGCCACATCTATCTGAAACCATTTCTTCTAGAAAATGAAAATTAAAGATTTCTTGCCTAGAAGCATACATAGGTCACAATTAATAATAGCAGTAAAAATAATTTCCTATACGTTGGAACGGACAAAGTAGTTTCACATGTATTACTTCCTTTCAATCAAGTCTCCCCATCAGGCATAATTATTCTCATTTTACAGATGAAAAACTAAAGTACAGATTAAAGGAGGGAGGCATTTTAGATGACAGTACCCTCTCAAAAGCCTGGGAGCAATTTAGTAGATAGATATTTAGAAGACATTTGCGGAGAGAAGGAAACAGGAGCCCTTTGTTCTAAATTCAGGTTCATTTAACTCTGACTTGGCATTGACTACACACTGGCCCCTGTGCTGGAAGCTTCTGTATCCATTAACTGGTCCAAAGTGCAGCCCTGAGTACATAACCCCTGAGGGTGCACAAGATGACCTACTGGGTGTAAAAAGAAATGATAATCATCTCTGGGGTTTTTTTTCTTTTTTTTGGGTGAGCAAGATTGGCCCTGAGCTAACATCTGTGGCCAATCTTCCTCTTTTTGCTGAGGAATATTGGCTCTGAGCTAACATCTGTGCCCACCTTCCTCTATTTTGTATCTGGGACGCCTCCACAGCATGGTTTGATGACTGTGCATCGGTCCGAGCCTGGGATTCGAACCTGCGAACCCCGGGCCGCCAAAGTGGAGCAGGCGAACTTAACCACTACGCCACTGGGCCAGCCCTATAATCTCTATTTTTAAATTATTTTTAAGCTACAGTAAAAATAAGACGTTAAGCTTGTTTACAGATATGGACAGTACTTTATATAATTTGTAACTGGACATATACTGTAAGTGTGTGCTCACTTTTTCTTAACTCCTGGAGACACATAATCAAGAAAAGTTGGATCTGTCAAGAGAGGACTAGTTATATAAACCATATCCACACAATGGAATATTGTGATCTAGAGATAAAAAAGAATGAGGAAGCTTCCTATACACTAACATGGAAAGATATTGTTATATATATTGTAATATATAAAAAGCAAGGTAGGTAATATATATAGTACACTTTTTTTTGTGAAAGGGGAGAGAAATAAAATATACACTCCTATTTGCTTGCATCTACATAGAGAAACACTGAAAGAATACATAAGAAACTAATTAAAAGCAGTTACCTAAGGCAGGGGTGGGATGGGATGGGGAACATGGGGGCAGAGGTGGGAGTGAGTCTTCTCAAAGTGTATCTTGTTTTATTGTTTTGATAACTGTACCATATGAATGTAATTACCTATTCAAAACAGAAAATAAAAACTTAAATGTAAAAAAAAAGATGGTTAATTTTGTTATGTGAATTTTGCCTCAATTAACAAAACAAAACTGTAAAAAAAACAAAACAAAAGAAAAAAAAGGTTGGAGATCACTAGTCTATGAGAAGTTAGTGAAGCTTAGAAAGACGCGACAAAAACAGCTGTGTCAAGAGAGTACAATAAAACTAACACTGGACAATTTTTGTGGTTTTTCAAAGATCTGAGATTATAACTGTTTTTCAATTTTCTTGATCCTTGGTTTAACCTTCTGGATTTAGGAAGTCACTTTTTACACATATCAGATCAATTATCTGCCAAATTCCTGATGTGGGCTGAATATAAACAAGTAAACTAGGGTTGGAGAGAAACTAACCATCAATTTCACTCCACACAATTATCCTGTTTCCCAATGTGGGAGGTGAAGACCACAGGGCTTTAGAACTTGAAGTGCTTCAGCGATCACCTCATCTACAGATAGCAAACTCAGATGCCTTCACGGACCAGGCAGGGCAGCAGCAAACTACAGAGAACATCCTCCTAAAGGCATTCAAATTCAAATTCTACTACAACAGTATGCTAGTCTTTTCATCTTATAGTTGGGAAAACACAGAGGCCCCCGTGACCTGCTTAAAGCCAACTAGCTGGTGAATTAGCGCAGAATTCCTCTGAGAGAACAAAAGTATGAAGATATGTAGGGTTGGCAGTAATTATGATAATAATAAGAACTATGTTAATTGAGCTCTTACAATATGCCAGACACAATACTAAAAACTCCATAGGCATTATTTCATTTAAACCTCATGAAAAATCTCTTGAGAGGTAACTGAAGACATATTATATGTAGGCTCTGAGCTTAATGCTTTAGAAACATATCACAAGAACCCTATAAAGGGGCTGTGAGAATTATTTCCATTTTAACAACAAAGAAGCTGAGAATCAGAGAAGTTAGATAATTTTCTCAAGGCCATATGCTTATAAGAATAAAGATCTGAAGCCAGGTCTGTCTATGCAGAAGCCCAGACTAATTTATACTGACTCCCAAGTAAGGGAAATGAACAAAGGAACCATTGATTTCTAGCCTAAATCATTAGTTCTCAACATTTTTTTTTTCTCTAACCCACTGGACCGTAGGCACATGAAACCTTCTCAGCAAACTGGGAGTGAAGGAGACAGGCTTGTATACTCACTGTATTCATCGTAAGCTGTTCACTGAGGGAGTTAGATTTGGAACGAAGAGCTGGCTCCCTGAAAGCAAGTAAGATATATCCTGAGATAAAAACAAAATCCATAATCACAAGTCCAGATTATACTGGATAAACAAACTGTTTTTGAAAATGTTTGCCAATTTAATGGCTATAAAACAGAATTTTAACTCTTCTTTAGTTTCCATAATCTCTGAAAGCTAAGAAAGATGAACAATTTTCTATTGAGAGGCATATTATTTACGGTTTTTCCTTGGGTACATGTTTTGTGTTTATTATGCCTTTTCTTCAATGTTCTTTCAGATTTTGGCAGGCGTTCTTACATATCTAGTTGGTGCGTTTACAGACTATGAATATTAATCCTTTGTCAGAAAAAGCTGATGCAAGTGTTTTCCCCATTTCCCTCATCCCATTTTTTCCCCAACTATTTAAAATTATTTTAGCTTTCAATTATATCTCTATTTCTGAATCCCGCTAAGAATCATTTTTATAGATAATAAAAAAGCTTGATACAACTCCAGTATCTTACCCTGATTTGAAAGGCACCGATGTGGGTGGTGACACAATAGGATCAGCAGGGAGGTTGTCAGCACCAGGTATGGGAGAAGGGGCTGCAGAATCTCGGGAACTAACACTGTGCCCATCAGAGCCAGAATCTCTGGCAAACTTGACCTAGGGAAAGATCAACCACAGGTGGATAGGCAAAAAAGGCACCCTTCCCCCTCCATCCTCCTTTCATTTTACTTATTCTCCATCACACAAGTCATTACCTGTTCACTGTAATAATTTTATTTATTTTTTCCCCCAAAGCCCCAGTAGATAGTTGTATGTCATAGCTGCACATCCTTCTAGTTGCTGTATGTGGGACGCGGCCTCAGCATGGGTGGAGAAGCGGTGCGTCGGTGCGCGCCCGGGATCCGAACCCGGGTCGCCAGCAGCGGAGCACACGCACTTAACCGCTAAGCCACGGGGCCGGCCCATTACCTGTTCACTGTAGACAAATGAGAAAATGTAGATAAGCAAAATAAAAATAAATAATAATAATAATCACCTGCAACTACTAAGCAATAACGCTGTTAGAATTTTGGATTTAATATTTCACATTTATATTAACTTTGTATGTATATATGTGTGTGTGTATATATTTCTTACAAAAATGGGGCCATACTGTTTTGTAACCTGCTTTGCTCATTCACTGATACATTAACATATTTCCATGTTACTAAATTATTAGTCTACAACATCATTTTTAACTACTGAAGAATATGTCTAACTTCAAAGGCCATGCCCTTAACTGCTGTTATCTACAGGAAAAAGTCTCCAAAGGATTTTGGGAACAGAAGTCATAAATATCTATGTTATTACAAAATATATTTCACCAATTTCTAGTTGTTGAACATTCAATTTATTTCTAGTTTTTCCTATCACAAACTATACTTCTATGAATAGCTTTATATCTATATCTTTGCACATAAATTCTCAGAAGTTAAATTGTTGGATAAAAGATTTGTTCATTTTTAAGATTTTTGATAAATACCATTAAATTTCACACCATAAAAGGTGAACTACTTTATACTCCACAAGTAGTATATAAATCTTTCTCAACACTCCTGTCAAATTGGGTATTACCTTTCTGTTATCAGCCTTGTCAATTTAATAAGCATGTCGATTTGTAATTCTTTGATTATTGCTAAAACAAAATATTTTTTTCTTATGTTTACAAAATGCTAGGCTTGATGGATTCAAATTGGTTTGTTACCTATCACTAGCCATGATTTCCTCAAACTCAAAGGGAAATTGAGAGAGAATATAAGAGCTGTGAAAAGGCAGCTGGAAGCATGTCAATGAAAAAGGGCTGGGATGGCTCCACAGAGATTAGGGCGTCCAATTAGGAAAGGGTCATTGAGAAGAAAAGCATATCCTTTGTTGCAGCAGGAATAATTGTCACAATGAAGATGACCATAATATTTATTTGTATTGTATTGTATAGTTTATAGTCATAAACACTATCACATTTGGAACTAACAATCACAGTATAAAGCAAACAGGGTCTTTTTTTGGGAGAGGGGAGTAGCATTAATTTAATTAACCACAATTTGTTACAAATTTTATTATAGAAATTATACATACTCATGATAAAATTTTTAAAATGTCAAAAGTAAGTTTCTGAACCGCATTTCCATTCTCCAGAGAAAATCACTTTTAATCACTTCTTTCAATGCTTCCAGAAATTGTCTATGAATATATGGGCATATATATGTATTTATATTTATATATACATACATATGTACATATGTATGATTGTGTAAATATATGTATGTATATGTGTGTGTATACATACACACATACACACAAGAGATCATACTATCCATACTGTTTTGCAACCTGCTTCTTTCACTTAACAATAGATTTTGGATATTCTTTAAAAAAATAAAAGTCCAGTCTATGAAAAACCATAACTTGAACAGTCCCTTAATAATGGACACTTAAGTTGTTTCCAGTTTTTCCCTATGGCAAACAACGTGACAGAGGGAGGAAACTATATATCTATCTATCTATTGAAATCTTTGCACACTTATGTAAACATATTGATGGGATAAATTTGCAGCCATGGAATTACTAAGCCAAAAGTATTTCCATTCGGTAGGAATCACTATTTTATAGACAAAATAAAAAGAAAGTTAGTGTTGAGAAGTGATTTGCTCAGTCATAACCTCTTCTAGACTCTGAATAGACAGCCAGGAAGGACATAAACCTTGGTCTTTAGATTCTAAAGCTCTTTCCAACTATACCATTTCTACTTTAAAAAAAAAAAAAGAGGGCCAGCCCGTGGCTTAGCGGTTGGGTGCGCACGCTCCACTGCTGGCGGCCCGGGGTTCGGATCCCGGGTGCGCACTGACGCACCGCTTCTCCAGCCTCATGGCTGTGTCCCACATACAGCAACTGGAAGGATGTGCAGCTATGACGTGCAACTATCTAATGGGGCTTTGGGGGAAAAAATAAATAAATAAAATTATAAAAATAAAAATAAAAAAGAGATGTCTTCAGAACCTGTTTTTCAAATATATTTATTTATTTGTTTTACTCAACTAGCAAAGAGAACTTATCAAACACAGCACAGCACAATTTCACTCACCCGCCTAATCTCCACCTCGAACACCAGGATAGAGTCTGTTGATTGAGTCCATCCTATTTCCCCTTCAGAGCCAGCAGCACAGGCTGGAGGGATGATAAGCAACCGCTTCCCTCCTTTCTTCATACCCAGCATCCCATCCTCCCAGCTCTTTAGGAATCAGAGAAAAGGAAAAGCTGATCAGACACAAACCTCCTCATAAGACAAAATAAGGTACAGGATCATCAGGTTTCACTCATCTACACTTGCAGGTTTGGACCCCTGGAGAGAGGTCAAGCTCACCCACCCCCTCTCCCCCCAACTGGTTATATGAATATGCAGAATACAGTCATGCGTCATTTAATGACAGTGATGCATTGTGAGAAATGTGTCATTAGGCGATTTCGTCGTTGTGTGAATATCAAAGAATGTACTTACATAAACCTAGATGGTATAGCCTACTACACACCTAGGCCAAATGGTACTAATGTTATGGGACCACTGCTATAAATGAAGTTCATCGTTGACCGAAACGTCACTATGTAGCACATGACTGTACTGTTTCTAAATTCACTTATAAAAGCTAGCATATCCAGGGCTGGATGAAATACACTTATCTTAGATGACCAAAAAAATTGGGTGGAACAGAATGGGATTAAAAGAGAAATAAAAGCTATCTTTTTTTTTTTTTTTTGAGGAAGATCAGCCCTGAGCTAACATCCATGCCAATCCTCCTCTTTTTGCTGAGGAAGACTGGCCCTGAGCCCACATCCATGCCGATCTTCCTCCACTTTATGTGGGACACTGCCACAGCATGGCCTGACAAGCAGTGTGTTGGTTCGCGCCCCCTATCCGAACCCGGGCCACCAGCAGTGGAGCACTCGCACTTAACCACTACGCCACCGGGCCAGCCCCTAAAAGCTATGATTTATTAAACATATTTTTCCAAATACTCTGGTAAGTGCTTTACTTGTATTATGTTGTTTAATCCCTAAAATGACCTCATGAGGTTAGTAGCATTATCCCCATTTTACAGATGAGAAAACTGAGGCCTGAGAGGTTAAGTAACTGTCCAAGATCAGAAAGTGGGCAAACTCTTAAGCCAAAATTCAACACTAGCTCTGTCTAGCTTTAAGGGTCTACAGAAGAAAGTCCCCAAAGGATTCTGGGAAAAGGAGTCATAATGCTATGGAGACAAACTTTTTGCCCCATGGATGAATGAGTACTTCACAATGCATCAGTATGTCCTGACACAATGATACTCAACATCAACACGTGTAAAATACTCTCTATTTTATAAAACACTTGCACAGTTGGTAAAGAAAAAATTCACAATGTGAACCCAGGTCCTCGGATGCCAATCCCGGTGTTCCTCCTGCTATGTCGTAGTCGTTTCCCACGATTGGGAAATGCTGATTCAAAGCATCCCAGACAGATAAGAATCACCCATTGCAATACACTTCTAGAAGAAACAGTTTCACCTCTTTCTCTATTAGGCTATGAGAAGGATTTCATAATTTCCTCAGAGTCAAAGGATGAAAAAGAAAGGTAAGGACTAGAAAAAAGAAATGTACCCATCTTCGATATATTGTCTCATAGGCAAAAATCTCCCAAATGCAGATAATAGAACACATTTTTCTCCTCCTACTTTTTACACAGCCTTTCCAGACTCTCAGAAAATATACCCAGGTTAGAAATTTCACAAAATTGAATCTAAATGAAGCCCACTGCAGCTGATAACCCACAGAAGAACATAGTTAAACCTTTACCTTGATGACTTTTCCTGATCCTAATTTCAAGCGAAGCAGCTTATCCTTGTTAGCAGTGGAGTCAAAAACCTGCAATTTGATCCAAGTAAATGAAGTCAGCCAATTTCAAAAATAATAATAATCATTATGACATCCAACTTAGTACATACCAGCACAGTACTTCTGGAATAGGGAATGTCAAATACACTGGGAAAATAGTTCTTAAAAGACTGAAAAGAAGGGACCGCATCATGACTAAAAGGTGTTATTACACTGAATATCTCTGAGGCAATGATTTTCCAGGTTTAAAAAAAACTAAACTTCTACCACCAAGTATTTAAAAGCGTTTTCATCTATACTTTTCAAATAAATGCTCTCATTTGATGCTCACACCAATCCTGCAAAGTAAGCAGGGTAGGTATCACTAACCTCCATTCACAGATTGGGGGAAAAAAAATTAAGAGCTTAAATGACCTGACAAGGTCAAGTTAGGATAAAATTGAGACCTGAATCCGTATTTTTTTGACTCATAGTCTAACCCTCTTTCTATCATACCATACTGCTTTTGAGGCCTTAATAATATTAAAACACAACAAGCCCAATCTATTTACAGTATCTACTATAACAAAAACAGAGAAACAACTGCGAAGAAGATCTAAAAAGAAGTTTTAAGACCTAATCCGATAAGACTATATTCAAGTTTAAAACTGGTAAAGGAGGACAAGACGTACATGTGAACAATTACTAGAAATGATACTTGGAGTTTCCATTTTCTCTAAGTAGAAGAGACACGGTGACACTGAGCAGATTTTATACATTAACATTTCATGACTCTGCCCCAAAAGCGGCTGCAGCAACTAAAGCAGGGCTACTAAAAGATTTCTATTTGCCAACAGCAGCAATTCACAGTAATAATAACTTACACTAGAATAGCCCTTGTGCTATCTAAATGACAAAAGAACCTGCAGGGTACATTTTCTTACCTGGCCCAGCACATGATTCTGAAAGCGCCAGCCGGTATAGGCCACTTCCAAAGAATCGCCAACTTCTACAGCAGGGCCTTCTGCTACAACGAGGTCCTGTGAGAGCACTGCATCCAGGGAAGAGGCGCTGTTGCACCTGGCAATGCACACCTGCGAGACAAAATCGAAGCAGCATAAACTTAGTTTAAGCTCAGTAAGTACTCATTCCAATATCGTTAATGCTCTTTTCCAAACAGTGGCAACCACTAACAAAACAGATTGCATGTTTAGAAGTAAACCATTCCAAAGTCAGTAATCTTGCCCGGAATCAAAGTGCCTAAGAGTATGGCTTTGGAGTCAGACTGTCTGGGTACAGATCTGGGCACTGCCACTTATTAACTTGTAACCTTGGCCAAATAACTTAACCTGTCTGTGAACCTAATTTCACAGAGGTTTTCTGTAAAATGGAGATAAAAGCTTTGCATATCTCCTAGGGTAGTTATGAAGACTGAGCTAATACAAGGAGAATAGTTGGCACGGTGCCTGGCACATAACTGCAAGTACACAACAAACATTAGCGACCATTACTATACTGATTTACTGCTTCAGTGTTTGGGAAACCTATGAAAGAAGGGAAGCTTCTAAAAAAATTTCAAAAGGCATTTCTAAAAACAATAAACTAGAAAAAAGGCCCTTTACAAAACCACATTGCATTCCCAGAATTCCTACTCCACCTTAACCCTACAGATTTAGCCATATTATCTTAGACAAAAGAGTCAGACATATCTTTATGAATAATTATTCTTAGTCAATGTTTTAAAATATAATACATTAGAAACTTGCTACTCATTTTCTTTAAAAAGCTTCATTATTGCAATCAAATAAATGCTAACTAAAACAATGAGACGTCATTTTTTATCAAGCAAATAAGACTAAAACAAAAAAAAAGGATAATTCTAAATGTTGGCAAAGGTATAGCGAGACAACTCATATAAATGTGAAATAGTACAATCTCTCTGGAAAGCAGTGTGCCAAAGTATATACAAAGTATACAGAGATCATAAAAATATTTGAACTCCTGACTCACTCTTTCACTTCTAGAAATCTTTCCTAGGGAAATAATCAGAGGAAAAAAAAAGGACACAGAATTATGTACAAAAATGGTCACTACAGTATCATTTATTTCAGAGACTGAAAACAATCTAAATGCCTAAAAGTAAGAGAATGGTTAAATAAATTAAAGATTTATTTATAATATATAAACCTCATATTATGCCTCTCTCAAAACTGTTTCCAAATAATTTTTGATGAAGTGGGGAAAGATGCATTATACATTGCTAACAAAATTAGCAAGATATAAAACTCTTATAAGAGTATATCTACTTATGTATATTATGCATAGAAAAAAAAGAAACATAACATGTTAATAGTGGTTACTTTGGGTAATAAGATTATGAGTGATTTTTTTAAAAAATGCTTTTCTAGGGGCCGGGCCAGTGGCATAGCAGTTAAGTTCGCATGTTCCACTTTGGCGGCACGGGATTCGCCAGTTCAGATACTGGGCATGGACCCACTCACTGCTCATCAAGCCATGCTGAGGCAGCATCCCACACTGAAGAGCTACAACTCTACAACTGTGATACACAACTATGTACTGGGGCTTTGGGGAGGAAAAAGAAAAAGATTGGCAACAGCTGTTAGCACAGGGCCAATCTTCCTCAAAAAAAAATATATATATGCTTTTCTAAATTTTCTACAATGATCATGTAGTAACTTTTTAAAAATTCTTTTAAGACACTATTTTTAAAAGATAGTTTTATTTATTCATTAAGATAATTTATGAAGTGGAAAATGTTTTAAAGAAGTAAGTTTACATTAAAGTCTCATTTTCAAGCAATTTCAATAAGTATTCCTATTATTTCCCTGAAATACAATAACCTCAGGCGACAAATTTAGCTCGCCGCTAACAAAATACAGCAGGTTATGAGTTTTCCATACATTTTCCTAAAATCAAGGAAAATCTAGACTAGTGTTTACATTTTCACAGAAAGAATAAGATGGTATTACCTGTTTATTGAACTCCACAGCAGCCTTTTCTGACTCAAACATGATGGACCAGTTTTGTCTTTGGTCATCATAAAAGGTGCTATAGTTATTGGGCCTAACCTGGGGAAGGGAGAAATGTTGAGATAACCATAGGCAGCACAGCAGATAAATCTGACTACCTAAACCCATATAGAAAGGCCTTGACTCAGCTGACCTCAAAGAGAGATATCAGGGAACTTTCTTCTTCCCTCCCACCCTCCACCAACTATCCCTCAGTCCACATTCCCAGAAGGTAGCCAAGAGACCTTTCTGAGAGGCTCTGTTAGGATATCCACTCTGACATCCAGGGCTGAAGCAGATCTAATTCCCACCAGGTATGCACAAACCAGTCTCTCCTATGAACTATCCCAAAGGAACTAATGATTCTAATATGGGAAGTCTTACCATTAGCTCAAAGTTCGGATGAATCCTGGCAACAGTAACTCGCTGTTGTTGACTGATATAAAGAAGAATCCTATACTGTACTCAAGCAAAGACAGGCAGAAAAAAAAGGGAACAGAAGTCAAAAGGCAATACAAAATGAGCAGTAAGATGTCAGGGGCGATGCTTCATAGAGGTATAAAACTCAAAGCTCAGTTCATCCCTTAAAGCTGAGATTTTAAATTATATCTTCTCACTATGCATTTTACTCTCTTCTCATTGTGGCCTTACTCTAACCATAATTAGCAATGTCTTTATTTCATTGGTGTTTTCATTTGTATAAGGGGTGACTAAGAGCTACACAAATGACTAACAGGTACATGAAAAGATGCTTAACATCATTAGTAATTAGGGAAATGCAAATTAAAACCACAATAAGGTACGACTTCACACCTACTAGAATGGCTATAAAAAAAAATCAATGGAGGGGCCAGCCCAGTGGCACAGCGGTTAAATTTGCATGCTCCGCTTCGGTGGCCCAGGGTTTGCAGGTTCAGATCCCAGGCATGGACCAACGCACCACTTGTCAAGCCATGCTGTGGCAGCATCCCATACAAAGTAGAGGAAGATGGGCACGGATGTTAGCCCAGGGCCAATCTTCCTCAGCAAAAAAAGAGGAGGGTTAGCAATGGATGTTAGCTCAGGGCTGGTCTTCCTCACCAAAAAAAAAAAAAAAAATCAATGGAAAAATAACAAAGTGTTGGCAAGGTAGTGGAGAAATCGGAACCTCATATATTGCTGTAGGAATGTAAAATGGTACAGCCACTGTGGAAATAGTTTGGCAGTTCCTCAAAAAGCCAAACATACAATTACCACATGACACAGCAATTTTCACTCCTAGTATATACCCCAAAGAACTGAAAACAGGGACTCAAACATACACTTGTATGCCAGTGTTCACTGCACTATTACTCACAATAGCCAAAAGAGAGAAACAACCAACGGTCCATCAACTGATGAATGGATAAACAAAATTGCTTATACACATACACATTGTTTATAACGTGTTATACACATACAATGGGACATCATTTAGCCAGAGAAAGGAATAAAGTTCTGATACATGCTACAACATGGATGGATCTTGAAAATAATATGCTAAGTGATATAAGCCAGACACAAAAGGACAAATACTGTATGATTCCACTTAAATGAAATATCTAGAATAGGGAAATTCATAGAGACAGAAAGTAGATTAGAGGTTATTAGACAATAAGTGAAGGGGGGATGGGAAGTTATTGCTTAATGGTCACAGATTTTCTGTTTGGGGTGACGAAAAAATGGAAATAGGTAATAGTGATGGTTGCTCAATATTGTAAACGTAACAAAGGCCACTGAATTGTACTCTTAAAAATGGTTAAGGGGCCAGCCCGGTGGTGTAGCAGTTAAGTACACGCACCCCACTGCGGGGCCCAGGGTTCACAGGTCCGGATCCCGGGCACGCACCGACGCACCGCTTGTCATGCCATGCTGTGGTGGCGTCCCATATAAAGTAGAGGAAGGTGGGCATGGATGCTAGCCCAGGGCCAATCTTCCTCAGCAAAAGAGAGGAGGATTGGCAAGGGATGTTAGCTCAGGGCTTGTCTTCCTCACACGCACACACAAAAAAGGTTAAAATGTGGGGCCCGCCTGGTGGCATAGTGGTTAAGTTCGCACGCTCCGCTTTGGCGTCCCGGGGTTCGCAGGTTCGGATCTCAGGTGTGGACTGACGCGCCACTTGTCAAGCCATGCTGTGGCAGCGTCCCATATAAAGTAGAGGAAGATGGGCATGGATGTCAGCCCAGGGCCAGTCTTCCTTGGCAAAAAGAGGAGGATTGGCATCAGATGTTAGCTCAGGGCTAATCTTCCTCACAAAAAAATTAAAAGATTAAAATTATTTCCAAAAAATAAGTTAAAATGGCAAATTTTATGTTTCATATATATTTACTATACACATACACACACATAAAACCATAGTTAAACAAATAATTAAAATTGAACCTCAGAGGGGAGGAAGAGCCTATGGGAGCTCATATACAATCTTGCACCAGAAAAGACTTTCCTTATCCTACATTAGGTAGATAGAGTAAGGGGCTGATCACCTTAATCCAATTCAATTATAGATAGATTGAGCCAGTCAGGGAAGGATATAGGTTTACTAAGAGTTGGTCCACTTCTGGGTAGTCCCTACTCTCAAGCATTATCTTCCCAAGCTTTTGATTGAGAGCGTGGAAGGTCTCTGATTCCTCAGTCCTGAATGCCCATCAGAGATTCTGAGCTGAGTTCTTCAGCCCCCTCTCCATGAAGGTCAAAATCTAGCAAATGTATTGAGAGGAAGGTTGCTGCTTGTTGCCAGTAAGGTCCTGGTGCTACAGGAGGACTTAAACTCTAGGCACCACAAGATTGCAGAAGTTTCCCTCTGCCTTTCTGGCACAGCCCCTGGACTTCGACACCATCCCAAAACTCAGCAAACATCCCATGGAAAAAAAACATCTTTGTGTTTGGAGCTCCTCTAGCTTTTGCCAACCTCTTTCCCACAAAGTTGGCCCATATCTGAGGCTTAGTCTACTCCTAGGCATTAGCAAAAGTCTCAAGGAAAGGAAACACTCAGCTCATTGTCTCTTCTCTCTCTGAAATTTTATTCATCTATTCCGCATCACTTCCACAGCTCTCCAATGAATTCTAAAATATGATAGTTGCAATTTATCTGCTTTTTTGTAATTGTTACAGTGGGAATGTTGCCTGCCACAACCTCTTGCATTCTAGCAGGTGGTGAAGTCCCAATACCAGAATTTTAAAATCCAAATGGCTACCACTAATGAATGAATAGATCTAGATAATAATCATCGATGGCTGCTAACATGACAAAATGAGAGACAACCAGACATTATTTACCTCCAGATGGGAGAATGAGAGAGATTTAAGGGACATAGTAACCAATTGCAATGTATGGACCTTATTAGATCCTGATTAAAATAAACTGTAAAAAAAAGAAAAAAAGAGACAATCAGAGAAATTTGAACACGAATGGTAGTGAATGAGAGCAAAGAATTGTTGTGGGTGTTTTCTAGGTGTGATAATGGCATAATGGTTATGTTAAAAACATCCTTATCTTTTAGAGATACATACTAAAATATTTACAGCTAAAATTTTATGCTGGAGATTTATTCAAAATAATCTCAGCAGGGGAAGAAGGAAGACAGGCAGGAATTAAGACAAAACAAGATTAATAATTGTTAGAGCTTAGTAATGGGTGTCTGGGGGTTCATTATTCTACTCCCACTATTTTTATATGTGTTTCCAAATTTCCATAATTAAGTTTTTTGTTTATTATTAATACAAATGAGTGTTGTCCATTATATTAGTTACCCTGAACAGGGCATCTTGTCTCTCGGGATCTCGGAGTCTCTGAGGAGCATGGACTCCATGCTCTCAGGACCTCTGAAATTCTATAATTTCTTATGCTTACTTCAACAATGTTCAAACTTGTCGAAGCAGAATTTGAAGCTAGATACAACCCACACGAGGAAATCAGTCTCGAGGCTTCTAGCCACCTCTTCTCTTTGACCCAAACCAATATTACACAATGTGATCAACTGCCATCTCATTATCAAAATTTTAAAGGACAAACACTGGTCATTAATGCAGGCACAAGGACATAATGCTCTGAGTAGTACACTCAGTGTTGTTCATTACCTAACAAAGGAATGTCCTTGGTAAATGGTTTACTCCAAAACTCTCCAAATTCTTAAGCTACGTCCATATCACAAAGGTCAAACTTAAAGATTTTGAGTGTTTGCAGGCTGTCCCCATGGCTTAGCGGTTAAGTGAACGCGCTCCACTACTGGCGGCCCGGGTTCGGATCCCGGGCAAGCACCGACACACTGCTTCTCCGGCCATGCTGAGGCCGCGTCCCACATGCAGCAACTAGAAGGATGGGCAACTATGACATACAACTATCTACTGGGGCTTTGGGGGGGAAAAAAAAAAAAGGAGGAGGATTGGCAATAGATGTTAGCTCAGAGCC